CACTAATCCGGAAATAACAAATTTTGAAAATTTCCAGATTGACAGCGGCGGTAGGGACCACCGCGTGCGGGTTTCACTTGGCTCGGTGCTAGCAGCTGCCCGAGTGCCCACCGCAGTGACTGCTACTCGTACAGACTGCTTAAAGCCTGCCGGCTGTGCATTGTCATAACATAGTACGTATGCGGTATTGCGTACTCTTTTAATTTGCGCTGGCCACGCCTATCTTAATTACAGCAGCTGAAAATACTTTTTTAAGCATACTTGGGTAGTATACTATCTTTTTACAAAAGATGAGATTTTTCTGAATTTGGAGGACCCCTATTTGCCCTGGTCAGTGGAATGACCTGCTCATATTGGGCAAAAATCAATCAAAAATCAATCAATTATCAGTACAAGTACAGTACTTTATCTACAGCAAATTGCTGGATTACTTTTCCGAACCGGTACGTTTTAATACTATTAGTGGGACTTATCAGGAGCCGGAATCAACAAGTGGTGCTATGTATTAATGCGCATTTGAGCAGTATCTGTATCCTGTACTCAGTACAGCTACAAAATAATAATCGCATTTCCGGCGCGTTACGCTTTTTCAGTAAATAGCTCAATACAGAGTCGACTTATCACTGCAGCACGCTTTGTTTATTATAATATGTAATATGTTGTTCTTTACCTGTACACATCTGTTTACTGTATCTCATATAATGTGGATAGAACGAACAACTTACCTGGTTAATTACGGATCTTTTGATTGTACGGTACTTAACGACATAGGTATTACTGTACGGTATTTTACAAGAGTATACCTTTTTAAAGATGTGTGTTTTTGTGTTCACTATTCAGTCTGGCTCTTGCTGCGTTAGCTGTTTCGGTATACAAGAAACTAAGAAAAATACGGAGCTGTTAAAAGAAAATAAATCGACATGCAAACACGTAAACGTAAACTATAATGCTTGAAAACTTGCTTGTGCAGTTGTGCTCATATGAATACATTTCTATTTCCATCGAAATTGTAAGAACAGCGCCAGTTTCCCCAATAAAAAAAATAAGCTATCGTCATGCTGATAAGTGATAACTCGGTGCAGCCACGGGATCGCCAGTTATCCGTTTTGATCCCGGTTATCGTAGGACTCAAAAGTGTAAATCAGCAGCAGGAAAAACTCCCGCTGCGTTGCCGTCCCGTCTACTGATTTCCTGTTGGACAATAGATACACGAGCATGTATGTGGATAAGTTTGCAGCAGAGCAAAAACTCCCGCTAACTCACCGTCTCCTGATCAAGAAGGTATCAGGTAGCATCTGCATCTCGGCAATCTGGGCAACTTATCATCACCAGCAACTGAAGCTAACAATTATCATTGTTAGCTTCAGTTCTTCAACAAAACGACAACGTGTTGCAAAATTTCTTGATTCAGAGAGCGTTAAAGGAAAGACAGATTTGATAGATTACGTGAATGAAAATGAGGGAGACGCTCAGTACTCATTCTTACGCCACCGGTACGCTTGAACTCTACAGTACATGATTTATTAGTATAATCTCACAATTAATACATGAAAACCTAACTTGAAGACAAATGACTGCAAAAATAATTTTTTAAAAATTAATTTACAGCTTCATACATCCACGGTAGGTCAACAGTACTCATGCAAAAAGGTCACATTGGTGGTAAATGGTAATGTTACAAAGTGGCCGCGAATGCGTTGTAACATCTTGCGGCGCAGTAAAAAGTAATTTGAAGATCCACTTACACCCACGTCACGTAAACTGTCTTTGATTTTTTTCCGCGGTCGTCGTTAAGGTAACTACGGAGGTGGGGCGTGCCGCAATAAGGTTAATATGGCTCGAGCTCGTACTTGTGAATTTCCCCGCGTAAAGCGATCGGTCGTTTTGTGGACCGGGCTTGGCATCAAAAGTCTCATTACTGACCGATATTTTTCGAAATTTCCATGTACACGTCTCGGTGACGCTTGCTATGAGGAAAATCGCGTTATTATTTTTCTTATACTCGTATGTAATATTATGATTTCCGTCAATGCATGTCATCTGGCTGTAGAATTACATAAATAAATGATTCACAAAATTATTTGAAACTGCGGGAAAGTCCCGTTTATGTACACGAATTTGGTATCATATACAACCTATGGTACGGTCCGTACCAGTACCAAAAAAAAATCTGGATCGCGTTTTTCGTTTTGCACCCCGCGGTAATCATCCGTAGACCGCCGGTAGATGCCGTGTAGTTACATTTGTAGTTACTGTGGTTTCTAAATTTCATAGGTCATTAGCACGTATACAGGCTGTTACGGTATACGGTATACCGTGTATCGGTATACACGGTAACGCATGATACCAGCTTAAGCTTCTACCGCACCGTATATCGTGTGCGTTTTGCCAGTACTTGAAGACCGTGTCTTAGCTTACAGTTACGTAAGTTAGCCGTTCCCATGAATTTTTGCGGCAAAGATTGTCACTAGAGATTCAGCGTGGTAACGCGGCATCTGTTATGGGAACGATGGAAGGAGCGGAAAAGTTTAATGAGATTCTGATGTTGTAAAAATGCCGATGTTTGATATATTTTCAAATTACGTTGTACCGCAGGTAAAATAAAACAAACAGTTAGATAGGATAGATCATAAAATACAGGTACGGTCAAGTACTTACTGTAGTGTGAGGAGGACTGGTAACCTACCGTTTGACGTCATCAGTCTCGCATACACGGAAGGGCGGCTGAAATGGTGACAGATGCGCGTTTTTCACGGTTTTTCTCAGTTTTCTCAGAATTTTTCTTATCTCTTCTATTTCTAACCCCTCATGTTTGGGTTTCTAAATTCAATATGATCAGTTAAAATATCAGAAAGCTTTAGAGAAGAAAGGAACTGAGAATATCTTTTGAAAAGGACAAGAAAAATCTGTGGATTTATTGTAAGCAGTAGCACAGCAGTGCAATCTGTATGCGACAGTGATGACTTAGACGACCGTTGCACAGTCGGTTCTCAGTCCTTCTAGCTATAGTAAGTTCTTGGTACGGTTTATAATTATTTTTACATTCCTGGCGGACTGACCGTACCGTATACCGTGTATCTGTACGTTGCTGCTGTATACGGTCTGCGATCTTTTGCGTAAGCTGCATTCTTCGAAATTTCCGGCATCGATAACCCTGGCGTTCAGTATATGCAACCAGGCATCAGCCGCATCGCATGACGTCAAGTCATGAGTGCGGTGCAGGTAATCCGTTAACGCGGTTGACGAACAGCCGACGGCGGCGCTTTGCTGCCACTCTATCGAGCATTCATCCTTTGACAGTATAACATGGCGCAATATGCTAGTTTAAGAACGATGGTCTGTTTTAAGTCATCCACAAGCTTGTGCTGGATTTCCACGACCGAGGTCGGTAATCTTTCGTAGAAACTGGAGAATATCAGCCAAACTGGGCATACCTAGGTTGGCTAGGTTAACCGCCACCCCGGGGCACTGCGTCAACTCGGCTTATCCCGTTAGATGCAACGCTCAGTCATTGCACACAGCAGACAGTTTTCCTTCACCCCGAGAGATGAGACAACTTGCTGCGGGAAATATCGTGGATGTCAGATATAATCTCCCAGCTGATTTATCCTGGGTTTTATTGAATCAGGGAACGCTGCAGCAGCATGTAGTAGAAAGTACCGTATACTTCGCAATATTCAGTAGATGCAACCTTTCGAGCCGGAATTTTAGTACTATCACAACATGGCGTGGAAGCGGTGTAATCTGTTATTGACTGTGATGCTATTCGGTGGCATCTATATTGCCTGTGCACTGCATCCGGCTGGACGCATTATTCCGCGCGACAGTAAGCTCGTTTCGTTCGTGATCTGTTTAAAGGGAACATGAATTTTTATGCGCTATGTGGTTCACAACTTCACCGTACATCAGTAAATTGAAAACCTTTCGTAATTGTGTCCGTGAGAAAAAATGCGGTAGAAACCGTAGCATTTAAAGTATTTGCATTTACTTGTAAGGAAAGGTCACAATATTACTGATTTTTGCGTAACTGTTCTGCAGATTTGAACGATATTATCAGACCGATGAAACGCGCCGCGAATCTTCGCCCGACTGATGGCTTGTGCGCCGCGCTCTGCCAGCGCTACCGGCGCTGTGTGAAGGGTCGGTGGAACTGGATTTCCGTGGTGGGCAGCGGTCTAATTCAGTGCGCCGGTATCCGCGAGCGACTGCAGCGCTGCGAGTGCTCCATCACGCGTGGCTGAGCGCCGTCACTGTCGGCGCTAAACGTTTTTTTTCCAGGCTTGATTTAATGTTGAATTACAGCAACGAGATGATACTAAAGTATTCTCATAGCATGCTGATTTCTGCTAATCTGCTTGTCCACGCAGTCAACCTAGGTTATTGTGGTAGGAAAACGGAAAGATTGTTGGTCCAATCAGAGTTTCTTTCGTTGCAACATATGACGTGCAGTTGCGAGGGTTATCTCACCGGTTCTCTTTTTCATAATAACGATGTGAATTGCAGCTGCATTGCTGATTGATTCGACTCACAGAATAGTCCCATTATACGAGCGAGAACAAACTATTATCGGAAACTGGTCGCCGGCATCATCGCTAGTTTCAGTTCGAGAAGATACGCCTTGATTAATGACAGGGTAGAATTAAAATGAAGTCAGCGCAGATGGCGTTTATAAAAACTGGAAGAAACATGAAACAGAGTATGCCCTGAAAATCGGAGCGCGTGGAAAATTAGCTTGTACGAGTATAATATCACGTTTCCATGCATCCACTCCACTGCTCCGTCTTTTCACTAGACGTTATCAACTGAATTTTAAATTCGCCTAGCAGAATTTGTTATGCTGCATTGGGGGTCACTACCATTAATCAGTGAATTAATGAGAGTGCTGCATTTCTCCGTCTGTTTAGCAATTTACTCGATGAATACTGACGCGACAGCATTAGACGAGAATGAGCTAAAGCTATCAGAGGATCTAACAACACAAAACAAGATAGTGCAGTGAATATCGAAGACTATTTGCAGGATCTGAAAAATACGAGTTCTTCTATATGAAAATCCATGGTATTTCATTCGCACTTGATTAATATTGTTTTTCTACATTTCCGTTCGCCTAATCGAAGCATCCACCAGAGTCCAAGCGACTTTTTTGTGATGAAATTTTTCTGCAGCGGTCCCGCTTTCGAATTTAAATGATCATATATACGAAGCAAACGAAAACGAAAAAAAAACGAAAAGAAAGTTGAAAAAAACGAAAATGAAACGAAAAGAAAGTTGAAAAGGAAAAGAAAGTTGTCAGGCCACGATGCAGGCAGGATTTGCGCAGGGTCACAGTTTACGTAAAGGTTAAGTCAACCGCGCCAATCCATTTCGTTGAAATGTGTGGTTTTATTAGTCATTTAGGCTGTTTTCCCTTCCGCGTGTGTGGCATTATCGGTGCCGCACGCAAAAGCGTCAGTTTCCAAGGAACACTGCAGGAGTGCGCTGTAAAGGCTCCCGATCATGTACACCTCTCCCAGACCGTATTCCCGGCACAGTTTGTGAGATTTGATAAAATTCCGCAACCAGGCAAACTGCGAATCACAGCGTAGCTTGCGCACCGCCTCAGCTTTCTGACTGAAGCTCTCATCCAACGCCAGATACTTTAGACTCGGTAGATCGGTGAACGTTCCTACTTCCAGGGACGCAATCTGCGTTTCAATGAAAACAATGATTGCGACGTTCCGCAGCCCACGGAAGTCGCTTCTGCGAATAGTCAGGCTAGTTAGACGAATGTCAATGGACAGTTCCACGAGGTTATCCAGTGTCAGTGCGGGTAGAAAAGCTGTAACGTTGGATAGCTGGATGTGTTTCAGCCGGAGGACCACGACCTGCTGACCAATGCGTCCCAAGGTCGCCGGTGTCAAGAAATCAGCATTGTCGATTTCTGCTCTGACGGCGCGATCAGGACTGTGTGTGTGGATAGCTTTACTTGCTCAACAAAATCCTGAAATATACACACGGGAGAATAATGTCCTTGTTTTTCGCGATCCGGACACTTTCACAAATGGATTCGCATACCGGGCACAAGAGATACAGTATGCTACCTGGGTTGTTACGTTGCCTTCTGGACGGCACATCAGCTTCACATGCGACTGAATTGTAGTCAGCGTCAAGTTCTCCAGGTACGCCCTCACCCTCCGATATCCTGGCGTCCAAGGCATCACCCTTTTCGAGGGTTTTCCGTAGCCGGCGCAGTCCAACAGATTGTGTCTCGGCGGGCCACAGGGATTGATTGGACGAGCGCTGCATTCGCGCACCGTCATGGGCTTGACGTTGAACCTCGAAAGGGTTTCCGCCATCGCTAAAACGTGCGCTGGACTTCCTTTTGCCAGTTTAAAATTATAATTGTTGTACCAAGTTTCGTACCTGGAAGAATCCAAAGCAGAACAATTGCGAACGTCCTAAACATTGCGGCGCAGGCGGCAGGCGCGAATAAAACTGGCGAGTAACGATATTGTGCTGTCTGTACCAAAGTGATCACAGGTTTTAGAGCACAGATTTTACATAAGAGCACAGAGCACAGATTTTACATAATCTAACGTAGATCCATTACGTTCAATACATACAGTACCATATTCGCAAGCGCGTTTACCTGAATTTTCCTGCAGGGTATCGACAATTCCAAGCGCTTTAGAGAACCAGTATGTGTAACGTTCTGTCCAATGAATGATACGGCAATAGTACATCTCAGTGCCGCGAGCGATACAACAGCGGAAAGACCGTCCGCCCGCATGCTTTTGCCCGTAGGTCGGCAAATCGTCCGGCGGCTTCAGAAAGCGTAGGCAGTAAACTTTTCCCGCCCAGTTTTTTTTACCTTGGAGATATTGTGAGCGTCTGGGAAAAGGATTTTACCAGGAAGGTTATGCTTGATTATATATTCGGAGGCGAAGGAGTCTGCCAGTTCCCGGAATGTTCGCATCATACAAGTCAAAACTTTGATGATCTAGCTACTTACACATTTTGAAACATCGAAATACTTTAACTATGCAATTAATGGCAACATTTTGACCTTTTATGTATGGTATATTTATTTATTCGAGTTTATTATTTTGGCTGTAATTCTTATGATGATTTGCTCGTACCCCGAAACGTTAAGTTGCTAATACCCTTAAATATAACTTTCTTATTCCATAGCTATTATTATAGCTGTTATAACTGTTATAGCTATATATAATGGAGCAGCTGTCTCAGTTATCTTTAAAAAAAAATTATTTTCGTTATAGTCACAGCAAACAACGTTCAGTTATAGCAAGCATCGGTGCCGCTTTTGTATTTGACAAATAAACGCTGTGTAGACCGGTACAGACCATAGGATACTTTGCCGATACGTTTTCAATGAAACAATTTAATTTAATTTAATTTAATTTGAGTCAGTGCAGGTAGCCCGTATCCGGCTAGGATGACATCTAGCCTGGGATTTTAAACCTGGCTGGCGAAACGCTAATTAGAAAACATCGATGAGTGGGAAACTGACCTGAAGACTCCATACACATACACCAAAACAGCGATACATCATACACCAAATAGCAATTCATTAAAACAGATTAACACAGTTTAGTTGTGTACAGAGCGGTTCTAAAACAGCCAAGTGTAGGTAAATCAAGAATATTGCTCCCGCATTCGTTAACTTTATCCCGAAGTTTTCCCAGTCTCCAGGATAGCTTCGTCTCTCCACACTTCGTTGCCGCACTCTTCTTGATGGTCACTTGGTCGGCATTGCGCAAGCTGTATGGGTTCCGTTTCGGTCCAAGGTCGATCATATCGGTAAGGTACGCTGGTACGTTGAACGGCTCCGGATGTTTAATCTTGTACAGCCAGATGGCCGCCTGGTGCCGCCATCGCGTGAACAATGGGAGGATTCCAAAGCGATTCATCAGTAGATTCACTGGCGTTTTCGGGTAGTTTGCAATTGCTCGAACAGCGTTACGGTGTGCAACCGCGAGCTTCACGCGCAAGGACACAGACGCGCTGCTCCACACTGTAGAACAGTAGTCCAAACGTGACTGGACGAACGCGTAGAAAAGTCCAATGCGTTGAGAGTCGCACAGACCGTCTTTCGCACGATTTATGAGAGCTGTTCCATGACTAACACTTTTTTGAACCTTATTAAACTGTTCGGTCCATTTCAAGTGCTGGTCAATTACCACTCCGAAGTGTTTAACGGATGTTTCTGGTTCGAACTGGTGACCATTCAGCATGATTGCTGGTCGTATCTTTTTATTACTGCGCGAAGAAAAACGTACATCAACTTCGACTTTTCTCATTAATGAGAAGGTGGTTGGCGTTCAACCGCTCTACAATTCCGGTGAGTGCACTTTCTAGCTTAGTTGCTGCATCCGCCTTGTATCGGCAGTAACGTAACCGATGGTGTCGCCCGCAGAGCTTTCTAGTTGCACTTTCATTTGATTGAATCATTAGAGCCCTTGCACTTTTCAAAATAATGTAGTATTTAATTGCAAATTTGCACGTAGTTCCTCATAAACAGTTCCAGCGAGGAACATCCAAATGGTACACGAAAACACAACAGCAAGATTACAACAAAAACACTTCAGATAAGCCGTCGGTGTCCGGTAAGGTGCCCATAACGCAAAGCGCGTTTCCTCTTTGAATCTGTATGGACAGTCTCTGTCGGAAAAACTCTTTGGAACGTGGTTGGCCGGTAGCCTGAGCGATCCCACGTCCTACACGGTCCACTAGGCTTTTTGCGCCTTCACCCTGTGGGCCGTATATTTCGAACGCAGCAGCAGCGAAGTTGTGTCGCGGAGATAGCCAAGCGTGCTTGAGTCGCTTAGCGTTCTCGGCAATTTCGGCAGCGGCTCCAGCTGTAACAGCGGTGCGGTCGATGTATGTTGCGGCTAACGTGTCTACGCATGTAACGTCGATCGCGAGTGGCTTTCCATGATCCCATGGGATTACGTCACTACGTCTGGGCGTTTTCTGTCAGCCTTCGATAGACCTTTCGGTTCCGTTCTGGAGGGAAACCCAGCCGTTTTCAGCCCTCGAGCGAATTCGGCGCTGAGTCCGTCGTGTCTGGGGAGGCGCCCGGCGGAGCGTTTACAGCGAAGACCGTGTCTGCCCAACTCGTCAACCTCTGAGCCACAGACGCACGTGTGCGGTGTTACAATTGGTGCGGCTATCCGGAGAGCGACGCTGATCTGGAAAGCGGTGTCTTCCAGCAGGTTTCCCAGACAGGCGGCTGGAAGAGCGTGCAACCAGGCTCCGGATTCCGGCGTCGACATCGCCTTGAAGTGAGCTATGTCCTCGGGTTTAACGCGGATGCTTGACAATCTCTTATGCGACTCCGTGCAGACCGGAGAGTCCCAGGCTTTCTGCACGTGGCGAAATGAATCTGCGGGCGGTTCAGCTGGGCCGCTGAGCTTACGCCATGCCTGAACGGCGGCAGTGGTGTCAGTTGGTACGGCTGTTGAGCACAGGCCGATTATCAGGGGACGGAGCGAGGAAGCCGATGCCAGATAGGCGGAAGGTGCTAGCTCCTCGGTGCGTCTAATCCCTAAGCCGGCAAGGCGGACGGGCAGTGATGCCTGCAACCAGGTCGGGTAACTCATCATAACGTTACAAATGGACTCGAGTGCTTCCCGGTACATCATATCTAGCTTGAAGAGTTCTTCCGGGAACATCCACGCTGACGATGTCCGGAGGACGTGGAGTATTTTTTGTACTCCTAATGCGTGTGACAGCAGAAACAAAGCCTGGTGTTTGGGAATCAACTGCAGTCGTGCGGCCATCATGTGCACTTCCTCCGTCTTTTTTGCGATCCACGGTGATACACCCGATGGGAGTTGCACTTAACAAAATGGAGTTCTCAAAAAATCGTTAAGGTAAACAGAGAATAAATTCGGACTAAACAGCGATCCCTGTGGGACGCCCGTTTTTGCTTCCGTCCACTGTGACACACGCTTCCCATTTCGGACTCGCTGCAGCCGGCCAGTCTGCAAAACCTAGAGTATGAGGTAACTAAAATGCAAGTCAGATGACTGAAGTACAAGTCAAATGTAAAGAGACTCAGCCACAGTTATGGTGCTTCTACGAGTATTGGATCGCAACCACCAAAGATACGGAAGTGCAGTCTACCGTATAACAAGCTCATCGCAAAATTAAATAATAAAATCGCGTAACAAACGCCAAACCATATCTGCCATTGCCCATTGTATCGCCATAAAACTTTCAATCTCGAAGACAAGGATAATAAACGTAACAGTTATATATGGTTATTGCATCCCTGGACCATCGCTGGCGCTGGCCACAATGAGCCGGGGAAAATAATTTTCTTGATATTTTCTGGAACATTTCTGCAAAACCAAAAATAAATTACTGCAATTTTGTTTTACAGGGAGCCGTTAAATAATAGCGTCATAACTGTTACTGTAGCGAGTAATTAGCAGTGTACCTAATACCAAATCGATCTAAAGATATACCAAGATTTGACCTATGTATAAAAGATCATCACGGTTGTAGGGAACACCGTACTTCTCCGGGGGGCTTCGGCGGCTGATGGACGGTGTCAACCGCCCAACGGCTTGCCGGTGGTGGTAGCTGCCCAACCACTTCCGGTGACGATAGAAACTTTCAAGGGTTTACCGCTGGACGGTACTACCCAACCGCTTCCCGTGACGGTAGTCACGTTCGCGGGTTTTCCGGTGGTAGAGAATGCCCCACCACTTCCGGTGCCTGCACGAACAGTACTTCCGATGATGGCTGGCTTGCCGGTGGTGGTGGAGGAGGCGCCGCGCGCTGCCTGTGCACTCAGGACCATTAAGGCCAATGCGAGAATAATCTGCACTGTGCTAACCATTTTATTATCAAAACCGGTTATGGCAATTGCAGCCCGAAGTGCGGAGAATGACTGAATGAAATACGCCAGAGTGTACCGGTTCCTTATACAAGGCATAGACTGTGTAGAAGATGATCTAGAAATGTCTCGTTTCCTCAAAAAAGAATTATGCTGTTATGGAATGCAAGGCAACTTGCCGGTAAATCATTGAAGTGTATTAGTACCTGTAGCGTTTGCAGTTTTATTGATTTGATTGGATGGCTATTGCCTATTAAAATTTTAGTGTTTTAGGTGAGAGTAACTGGCGTACATGTACTCAACATTTTGTATTCCACCATTCCCTGACACGTGATAATGCTCGGTACTCGACATCGTTCAGCATTTTACAGTTTTTGCTGGATCCGAATTCAGCCGTTGCTGTTTGGACGTCGAACTGCTCAACATCCAAACGGTGGAAAAAATGTTAAAATAAAACCAAATTGTTTTTCTTCAAAAGCATCACTCTTTTAGAGGGATTATCGTAGCATACACAGTCCGCTGCGTCCAAAAGGGATGGATTAGTCGAGCACCATATTCGCGCAGCGCTATACTTAGTACAAATATTCATGGGCTTCGAGTTGGACATCGACAGGGCTTCCACGATGTGCGTCCCTAGAACGCGTTAGCGTAGCATAAACTAAATCTTTCCAGGACGGAGTTTTAGCACTAAAGCAGCATGGTGTGGAAGAAGTGGGATCCGTTGCTGGAGAAGTTAATCTGTGCAGCTTATCCGATCGGACGCATATCCTGCGCGCAGTAAGGTCGTTTTGTTCATGACACCAGTTTTCATTTCAGCTTGCCCAACGCCGGAGGGTCGTTGTAAGTGGATCGCGGTGGCCAGCAGCAGTCTGCTTCATTGTGCCGCTGTCCGTCCGACAGCGCCAACAGCGCTGTGAACGATCCATCACGTCTGAATGCGCTAGGTGTTCGGCGATAAACGTGGTTTTGCATGCTTGAATATTTTTGCCTTACTGCGGACAACATTTCAAGGCATTCATAAAAGCAATGTTACTTTATGTTTGCGTAATTATCTAGTTATTAAGTCATTAAAGGATTTGGCATGGCACATAGTACCGAATTCGGGTACATACACGGGAACTTTCGCTGTCCTGCACTCCTAAACACTTTTTTTGCATTGCTTTATGACATTTTCTAGCCGAAGGATTTGTATACGTAGGCGTGAGATCAGTTTGCGCGCGCAAAATCCGGTTCGGGAGTTATTAAGGAAATAAGATTTCAAAATTGTTGAAATTAATTTTAAAATTTTAAAAAATGGTAAAAAGCTGGTTCGGTAGTAAAACGATCTTTATAGTAATGTGTGTTTTCGTGCAAAATTTGAAGAGCATCGGTTTATAATGAGACTTTTGGTACATATCCGCGCGTTCGAACTTTTGGAATTTTATTTCATTATTAACTCCCGAACCGGATGTTGCGCGCACAAACGGCCTTCTGGCCTGTGTATACGAATCCTTTGGCTACAAACTATCATAAAGCAATGCAAAAAGTGTTTAGGAGTGCGCGACAGCGAAAGTTGGTGTGGATGTATAGGAATTTGGTGCTATGTACCGGGCCAAATCCCTAAATACAGCCAATAGATATGTCTAATCTCAGAGCTTCGGTTATTGCCAACGTCGCCATGAACTGCGGTCAACTATCAGAACGACTGGTTATATGAATACTAAACATCTCTTGCAGGTGTTCGGCCTCTCCTCGTTGTCCCGAGTGATCTCAGCTCCTACTGAACCAATTTTCTTGCTTTAAAACATTCTAGAATCTATTCAGCGCGGTGGGTGTTGTGCAGCTAATGACCTTTTGTTTCTGTGAAATTCCTAAGGACAGCGGTCACTCAAAAGCTTGTTACCATGGATGCCATAGGGCTAATATGAGCTGGTCTGTTACCACGGGCATGTTATACTTCATGCATGTTATAAGTACAGTACTGCACTTGCACAAGAAACAACTTTGGCTTCGCCTCTGCGTTTCTTGTGGTTAACTGACCGAAAACCTGCATTAATAATTATATTTCAATCAGTTCATAATTTGGTATAGTTACCTTTTAGTTTTGATGAGATCTGAAATAAGTCAAAAAGCACATCACCGTTTTCTTGTATTTCACTTTGTCACTGTCGCACCTTGGGGCCCAGTGCCCTGAGCTGTAGCAACAGTTCGGTAAATCTCTCACCTACAGCAACCCAGCTCACTTAATACTACCACCTACCAAAAATCCTAACTCACATATTTACAGTACGCAGTACCTAGTCGTAAGCCAATATTCATCCGTGCTCAGCTTGTAATAATTCATATCGCCAACATCTTGCGTTATTTGACGAGCACTGATGGCAACATATAGAAGCTGACTGAGTGGATCAAAGCGAAGGTGTTCCCAGTGCAGCTCAAGTGCTTCGCTTAATTTGAACGTTAACGTCTTTTATTGATGAGGTACGGAAATTAGCTTCACTCAAAATACCGTATAATGCCTTGTCGGAAGGAAATACACGATTTTTTATCTGGAAATTGTTGCAACGGGATAAAACTACTTTACAAATTAACGCCGGGAAAACAGCGCTGATCTCATAGCTGCAGTGGGACACTACTAGCTCTTGAAGCAGAAACTGCGGCAGTTCTGCTTCCGAACATGTTTTACACCTGTTCCCAAAGCAGATACTGTTTTCCTGTCGTTTGCAGATATTGTTTGCCAGTAAAGGAAATTTTTTTTTAAAAATATCTAAAATTTCCGCCACAATTCCGTGTAAGTGAAATAGAAGTTTGTCTACAGTGTAAAATCAAGCTGAGTCGCACTCTGCAGTGCCGTGTTGGTGCCGACGTCGAAGCAGCTAACGTTTAGTGGCTTCCGCCGCATTAGATTGTGTCAAAAGCCGCCTGTGCTTCAACAAAAATATTTTATTGCAACGACAATAAATAGACAGCCGAAATAAAAGGCGCGCTCAATTTGGGCAATTAGTCGCTAGAAGATATCCGGCGCCATCCAACAGAATTCGCAGGCCTTCCTCACCGCACTTTTTTCTAATTGCTGCAGCTGTTCCGTTCATGTGTGCCGCGATGTCGGATAGCGCCCTGCAAAGGAGCAGCACAATTATTATCCCACAATAAAAATGGTACACAGAATCATACGAGACGATACTAAATCAGATGAATGTTGTCTAAGCGGTTCACCATGTGTGGCTGTCTGTTTGTCATGATCGAAGCATAACTAAAAACATTTTCGGAAGATGCCCATTCTATTTCTCAACTTGGTTTTAGTTTTGTTTCTTCTTCCGTTCGTACGGAACGTCGTTCTAATAAATTCGGCCTGCGATCTGGCCGCACATTAAACTGGTGCTTCTCGATTCTGGTAATCGTAATCATACAATGGACGACAAAAAGAAATTGAACCGATCAGTCGGTCTACGGTTCAAAAATTACCTCGCAACGACACGCCACCAGTAAAACTTGAAGCTTACTCAATTGCTTTGCATGCTACTTTCAGACGCTCGCGCTCCGTGAATATCGAAGTGCAAACTACGCTAATTGCATATCCAAAGGTGCAGAAAAAAATTCTGAACTTTTTGATGCTAAACATGTGGCTGTTTATAGCGAACAGCACCAATTCTAGCCATTTTGCTTTCCCATAGACTTGAGCATATCTGTAGTGTGAGCGGAGAAGCGGCTCACGTACAGCGACAAAATCTTTCAAAGGATTTCAACGTATTGCGCCGTGGTGCAGTGGTACTGCCTACGCGGATCTAACGACGTAGCCGGGGTTCGATTCCCCCATCGGCGCCTTTTTCAGCCGTTTCTCGGTTTCCCTCGGATTGCGCCCTGCTTAGAGTAGATTGCAAGCCAAACGGTTTTGCGCACAGATCCTATGCTGTGCCTACGAGAAAGCAAAATGGCTAGAATTTGTGCTGTTCGCCATAAACAGCCACATGTTTAGCATCAAAAAGTTAAGAATTTTTTTCTGCACCTTTGGATATGCAATTAGCGTAGTTTGCAGTGACTGTTTGCACTTCGATATTCACGGAGCGCGAGCGTCTGAAAGTAGCATGCAAAGGAAGTGATTAAGCGTCAAGTTTTACTGGTGGCGTGTCGTTGCGAGGTACCGCGGACCGACTGATCGGTTCAACTTCTTTTTGTCGTCCATTGTAGCTACTTCGTGACATCGCATCCTTTTCCAACCTGAACAGTCTGCTCCCTGGAAGCGCTGTATATGCAGTTCCTGTTGAGAGGGCTTTAAGAGCACCGTTTTAGTACCAACCTGCAAGCGTTTATTCGAGCGGTGGAAGCATTGACGGACTGTTGCACATAAACCAGCTGAGAATGCAGCATCGGTATGTCCGCTCGAATAATACCAGTATTCTCCTTATAGCAGTAGTCCAGGACCGGTACATAGGTTTGCACAGGGGAGGCTGGGTCACAAAGTTTGGCGATGAATGTCAGCCATGTGGCTATAAAGTGGCTGTTTCCACCATGCAGCGGCTGTGTAGGACAGTCGTGGTGCAAGGCGTTTAAACATTGCGCGGATTCCTGCATGAAACTGCAAAAGGGCATTAAAATAGGTTTTTTCTCTCAGTTTTAGTTTGGATTCTTCGACAGCTTGACAGTCGGTCAGTGTTTCCCATACCGGCAAATCAGTTTCTCGGTCTGCGCTGTCTGATTCGCCTTGTCATCCGCCACGGGCCACTCTGTCCCCATGAGCTCGTTATGGTCGGCCAGCGTATTCTGCAGCGTTTCACAGCGTCTCGCCAGCGCGTCACATGTTTCATTCATTGGCGATGACGAACTGCCAGTAGCAAGGATAACGGCACAAAGAAAACACGATGTTATGAACATTCTGCCCGTTTTTCACCAGTGCGGTCCTTTCCAATCTTGCTTCAGTCTGGAAATGCTGTGGTTGCGCTCACTGGAGTATGTTCAACACCGCTTTGCTTTTCCGTTTTGGTTGTTGACTACGATATTTTGACAAGAGTTGCCTTAAGTACCGTCTCCAGAGAATTCTTTGTACCGGCTTTATACGACTGTTTATACTACAGCGATTGCAAGGTTGATAAATATCCACTGCAAGCTTTTTTCGTCGATTGGTCGAAATGATAAGTTCGAAGAAATTGGAAGTTGGTTCGCGACATAATACATAGTGCATTAAACACAGCTAAGTGATTCTCTGCTCACACAGGGCGTGTATGTGTACGTAGTCACTGCGCATATGACTCAGAAAGCCGGCTTCCTTTCTGCAAAGACGACTCAAAAAATTTAATCCATCGTTCTTACATATCGACTTTATGAAAAAAGTGTGAATCAACTGTCTGTTGAGCAGGCTGTTTGATGAAAGAAACATGTTATCCCAAACTGCATGGGGACGCTGGATAGCGTATTCTTCGAACATTTATTGAGTTATTCAAAGTGCATTGCAGCTCACAGGCAGCTGAGCAGTTCCGAAAATTATTTGAGAAATAATACAAATATCATTGATTCTGAAATTTTTTCATATCTTTGTTTTACGTTAATGCTTTGCTAAAGTAATTTATTACAGTATCTACACCATCGGAATTTGGTGAGAATGTTACCGTTGAGAAGTGTGGCAGTAGTTTCAGGCGTGTGTGAAATTCTATGTTGATTATTTATACTTTTTTATTGCACGGAGACCATTCGCGATTCACGTGGTCACGACACGATAGTTAAATTGTTTCTAATCAATAAATTCTGCGCAAACATTTGCTATAAATGCTACCCTAGTCGGCCGTGGCACACCGTGTCTCGAATGTGATAACTGGCTGCAGCTCATATTATTATTAAACTGCTTTAATATTACTACAAACAGTAAGCATGTAAAATTTAGAAGTCAGTACAACTGCTGCTTTTGGTTCTAATTTTATTACGACAACTTGTGTTGTTGGTTAGCAGCATCTGGTGGTGACGGATGAGTTCAAAAAGAGAGCTGTTTGGGCTACCGTATGATTGTTCCGACCATTCGGAGCCCAGATTGTTATCATGGGATCACTATGATAACACGTATTACCGACGGTATTACATTTTGCAGCGCTTTGCTGCGCAAAAAAGTAAAACCTATCGGCTTTTACATGATACGGGATGTTGTTTGGCTTCTTCATTCTTGACTCTTGTATTGTGCGACATACGGTGGGGCGGCTAACCGTTTTTACCGCAAGCGCTTCAGCGCGCTTTTGACGCTTGCGGTAAAAACGGTACCTTTACATGCTAAATTATTGGATGGGATGGGCTTGCACAGACGCGATTCAGATAGTTGTTAAATTAATGTGTATTGCCTGTATGCATGTACTCTATAAATAGCATTAATTTTATCGTCTATACCGGTGAAAAAATAATATCACTAAATTTCTAGCATAGTGCAACTCGGTTCCACTGACTTGCTGTTGATTAACCGATATACAATGATTGTATAATGTTCATAGCATATTTAGTTATGTTCCTATGTTCATAGAATATTACGTAAATATGTTCATTTACATATGTACAAGGAGTATGTATGAAGTTCATATTGTACATACATATGTACATATCATACATACATGTGTTCACATGTTCATAGAATATTTTTTGTTTGAGAATTTATTTCAAAGCTGCTACGATATTTGACAATGCATAAAACTTGGTCACTGAAATTTGGGTGTATTCAAAAACGCTCACGGAAGCTTTGTTTACACAGTTGCACCTAAGCTTTTCCCTCTGATGCTTTTTCTGCTGGCTTGGGTTGAAATTGTACATCGTGTATTTGTTCGCTGGATTGACAGGAAGCACAAACTCTCCGGTGCGCCAATCGGTCAAGCATCTGCATATCTTTTCAAACAGTTCAGTCAGTGCGATTAACATTCTTTCACTGCACAAGCAGAAGGAGGCCTAGAGTAGGCACGAAGCTGGACGCTACAGTTTACAAATTAATTATAACCAAATCTACAGAGTACAGAGTTAGAACTTTTTCATATTCGTTGTAACGGTTTTTTTCGTGATCGATCGACAATACTATGAATGTTTTTGCTAAGTACGGTATTCAATAATACGTGTACATAGTATTCATATCGTTCTGACACAGCTAAAAACGTCCAAACAGAAACAAGTACGCTCTGCGGTTGCCACGCCAGTGTATACAATTACAAGTACTATGCAAATCATCTCGCCATAGAATGTCTTAAAACAATACCAAAAAGCGTTCGGGAGTAGGCGAAAGAGAAACTTTTCGTTCGAATTCGTGAACGTGTACGAAAGCTTTGCGTTTGAAGGAACTGAGGGAAGTGTGCCGGTACATGCTACCAATTCAAATTGGCGGAATGTACCGGCTCACTTCCCATAAGCGCAAAGCTGACGCTTAAACAGCAGGCAGTGCAATGCCGATGTTTTCTCTAGTATTACCGTTATGACTGGAGCAGTGGGTATCGCGGTACATTAATATCAAGTGCTGAGTTGGTCATAAATATTTTCGAGATATAAAGGTGTCGCACTGCATCGGGGAATTACCTGACTGCTGACATGACCAACCGGTAGCAGTTTACGGCGGCCTATCGCGCTCCATACCATTGATTACTGGTTTCCCGAGCAGAATGTATCTTACTTAAGCTTCCTATTCAAAATTAGCTCTCTGCCATCGCTACGGGCGCTGTGTGGAGGGGGTAAAGAATGAGATCAGTAACCCCATATAGGTAGCGTACGTAATTTACGTACGCAATTTAAAGCACAACATGCATTAGCTGCAGTGCATCTCTTGAGATCTAATCTGGGTTTATCTGTAAACAGGCAGTAGCCTGAATGAGTCTTTCAGTTTATATTCAGCCATTAACAACAGTGTCAATGCCTGACGGCAGTTTTGGCGCTTACCAGTTGCACGGGATGAGTTTTTTTAGATGAGTTGAACTGCTGAGATGAATTGAGCAGTCAGACTTTAAATTGCTCAAGACTCTGCAGCATTTGCACAGTCCGTCAGGGCTGCTGTCGAAGTCTTGTCAGGTATGTCAGGTATGATTTTTCCATATTCGCAGCATACGAACAGTTCTCCAAGGTGGCTGCTGAGGTCACTGTGAATGTAGATATGCCGGTTTTGATTTTCCCATATTCGCAGCATTCGTAGCGTTCGCCAAGGGTGCTTTCAAAACCAACCAAAGTAAGCATATCCAAAGACATTCAAGGTCTGCTTTTCCCATACTCACAGCATTCGCAGCGTTCGCCAAAGGTACTTTAAAGAGCAGCTTAAGTAAGTCTAGCCACATACCGGCCACCTACCGACATACCGGTTCTGATTTTCCCATATTCGCAGCGTTCGCCAAGGGTGCCTTAAAGGTCAATCGAAACAAGCCTAACCAAAGACTTGCCGGTTCTGATTTTCCATATTCGCAGCGTTCGCCAAAGGTACTTTGAATGGCTGCTTAAGTAAGTCTAGCCGAAGACATACGGGTACTGATTTTCCCATATTCGCAACGTTCGCCAAGGGTGCCTTAAAGGTCAATCGAAACAAGCCTAACCAAAGACTTGCCGGTTCTGATTTTCCCATATTCGCAGAATTCGCAGCGTTCGCCAAGGGTGCCTTAAAGGTCAACCGAAATAAGCTCAACCAAAGACTTGTTGGTTCTGATTTTTCTATATTCGCAACACATTCGCAGCGTTCGCCAATGGGTCTTTAAAGGGTCGCTTATGTAGGCCTAGTCAAAGACATACGGGTTCTGATTTTGCCATATTCGCAGCATTCGCAGCGTTCGCCAAGGGTGCCTTAAAGGTCAAGCAAACCGGCTTAACCAAAGACTTGCCGGTTCTAATTTTTCTATATTCGCAACATTCGCAGCGTTCGCCTAAGGTTCTTTAAAGGGTCGCTTATGTAGGCCTAGTCAAAGATATACCGGTTATGATTTTCCGATATTCGCAGCATTCGCAGCGTTCGCCAAGGGTGATTTAAAGGTCAAGCAAACTAAGCTTAACCAAAGACTTGCCGGTTCTAATTTTTCTATATTCGCAACATTCGCAGCGTTCGCTTAAGGTTCTTTAAAGGGTCGCTTATGTAGGCCTAGTCAAAGATATACCGGTTCTGATTTTCCATATTCGCAGCGTTCGCCAAAGGTACTTTGAATGGCTGCTTAAGTAAGCCTAGCCGAAGACATACGGGTACTGATTTTTCCATATTCGCAGCATTTGCAGCGTTCGCCTAGGGTGCTTTAAAGGTCGGTCTTAGTTAGAATACCGAACGGCGTGCCGCTTCTGATTTTCCCATATTCGCAGCATTCGCAGCGTTCGCCAAGGGTGCCTTAGAGGTCAACCAAAGTAAGCTTAACCAAAGTCTTGCCGGTTCTGATTTTCCATATTCGCAGCGTTCGCCAAAGGTACTTTGAATGGCTGCTTAAGTAAGCCTAGCCGAAGACATACGGGTACAGATTTTTCCATATTCGCAGCATTTGCAGCGTTCGCCTAGGGTGCTTTAAAGGTCGGTCTTAGTTAGAATACCGAACGGCGTGCCGCTTCAGATTTTCCCATATTCGCAGCATTCGCAGCGTTCGCCAAGGGTGCCTCAGAGGTCAACCGAAATAAGCTTAACCAAAGACTTGTTGGTTCCGATTTTCCTATATTCGCAACATTCGCAGCGTTCGCCAAAGGTTCTTTAAAGGGTCGCTTAAGACATACGGGTACTGATTTTTCCGGATTCGCAGCATTTGCAGCGTTCGCCTAGGGTGCTTTAAAGGCCGGTCTTAGTTAGAATACCGAACGGCGTGCCGCTTCTGATTTTCCCATATTCGCAGCATTTGCAGCGTTCGCCAAGGGTGCCTTAAAGGTCAACCGAAACAAGCCTAACCAAAGACTTGCCGCTTCTGATTTTCCCATATTCGCAATATTTCAGCGTTCGCCAAGGGCGCTTTAAAGGTCAAGCAAAGTAAGCTTAACCAAAGACTTACCGGTTCTGATTTTCCATATTCGCAGCATTCGCCAAAGGTACTTTGAATGGCTGCTTAAGTAAGTCTAGCCGAAGACATACGGGTACTGATTTT